GTGTGTGTGTGTGTGTGTGTGTGTGTGTGTGTGTGTGTGCGTATATATGTATATAAAGCTGATATTGTAATGCCTGAATATGTCTATGGATATGTTGTGCAACTACTTGAATCGTAGGATTGCATATGGTTATACATATAACTGATATACCCCGATACGCTTACCTGTCAGATACTTTCCATACGGCAGCCCATGAATCCTTCTTTGGTGGTCTACGTATTGTAGTGTTCTTCTTGCGCCCAAATGTACGTATGCGCTGTCGTCGATCCCCAGTCATATTGGCGTGTTGTAGATTATATCTGTGCACTGCTACAGTCACTTACAACTTGAACGCGCAATCGATAAGTGTGGGCTGGAATACTAAATGTGATACAAAGTCTAAGCTTGTGACATCGCCGCCTGTGCGACTAGGGCAGCTTAGATACCTTTCGAATAGATACTAATTCCAATATAGCGTATACTATTTGTGTACGAGATGTTCAAAGTTGTAGTTCAGATGGTTAAGGGTAGTCAATTCCACATACATGTCTCAAGGATCATATCAGGTGAGTGGTGAAATTCGTCGTCCCTAGTATGCGACCATATATCTCAGTGCGTGCAGGACGTCTACACTTGCTATAGAATATGCACATACATGAATATCGCTATAATCTATCTACACACATACACATGCATCCATATCACTATAATATATACACACACAAACATAATATACATGCATACATACCATATCACATTTAAGAATTTATACGAATCTATAGACGCCATCCACAGGAAACATATTTTATTTAATTTTATAAATACATACTTGTCAAAAAAAAATCGGAAAGCAGTTATAGTTTCGCGCCCAAATTTAGTGCTATTTCATTGGCTACTAAGAACCTTTCATTGGGTAAGGATGAGCAACAGACTCCCTGTCTATAAATGTTAGAGCCTTTTCATTGGCTAAGCTAACCCGCCAATTTTGTTCGTGTGAGAATGTGGGCCACTTCTCGTGTGACTTGTGGCATTTTCCTACCTTCCTCTGTAGTATATACGTTGTCTCAGTATATTGTCCATCTTATATTTTGTACATTAAATTTGTTGACCCTTGTCTTTGTGGGAACTATCCCTATTAAAACATTTAACAACAGCAAATCGGATATTAAAAAATGATAGTCTGACTTGCCTTTAATCCATGTTATGAATAGACTTTGCAGGCCTGGCTGTATGTGTCTGAGTGCTTTTCCATCTTATTGTATTACGTGCCCTATATGTATACTGCATACTATTCAAACACACACACCACTGGGTATATGCTAGATCCCATTAGATACGATATATATATATATACATACA